GTTGATACCTTGTTACTCTGTACTGCCTCCTTGGAGCTCCAGTGGTGCGATCGGTTAGAGTACTTATGCTGTACTTATAGAGTACTTATAGAGTACTTATAGAGTACTTATACTGTACGGCCTCCTGGGAGGTTCACGTCTGAGAGATATTATAAAATATAGCAATGAGACCAGCCAGAAAGCAATAAGCATGAGGCGTTTTAGAAAGAAGGACAAAGTAGGAGGTAAGCACAGAGTTTTCAAGCCCAAGGATTACATTTAGATTTTTCATATTTTATTTTTGCATTTTGCACCCAGTATAGTATGGCAAGCCGTCAGTCACTTTCCAAATTTTCTTGCAGGAATTTAGTGCTGAACTTGATCTTCAGTATCATGGGAGTCAATATGGCCTTCTGGAATCTTTTCAGCCACTGTGGTAAAGACAAATGTTCAACCAATTACATGTTAGTTATTACAAGAATCATTTCCGGATTGGATTGTTCAGTTACATCCAAGAGAAAGTTGTTTCCTTTGTTAGCTTTCTTCAGTTAGTGTTCATTTATCTCCTAATTATTGTAGATATAATGATCAACTGTAAGGGTCAAATTTGCCTTGATAAAGGCATATTCAGATGGCTTCACCAGCATAATTGCATGGGTGTGAGGCGGCTTCCAGAAGAAGCTGGTATTGAAGTCAGTGGAATGCATAAGGAAAATCAGTCCTTACCTGACATGGCCAGGTGCCATTCAGTCTGTGGAAGGGCCAGATAGAATAGAAAGACAGAGCGCAAATGAATCCACTCTCTCTCTTCAGGAGCTAGGACAACCACCTTCTCCTGTCCTTAAATGTCAAACTTCACTGGTCTTGAATTCTGGGCATTGCACCAGAGGCCACTCAGGTCCGCAGGTGCTTGGCCTTAGACCAGTGGTGCTCAGGCCTTGGGGTGAAGGGTTGAATCTCTTCCCCCAATTTTTTTGTTCTCCTCTTGTAGATGTAGATGACTCCTGAGGAGATAATCTACTTCCACAGTCCTGTCTACCATATTTTGTATAATGAGTGGCTCCTTTACTCTGGAGAGCCTTGATTAAGATGATGGATATGGGAGAAGCCGAGGAGGGGAAGGCAGGGCAAGAGCTGAGAGAAGGGAAAGAGCAGCAGTTACAAGTAGACCATTTTTCTTTGGAATAACGTGCAGCCCCGGAGCAGTTCTGTCACACCAGCTCGCCTCTTTTCCCCAGGTCTATTTTGATCTGTTATGTAGAGTATTCAGAACAAATTTTTGGTATGTCTTAATTATATTAATTATGCAAAGTGTGAAGATCTCTGCAAAAAACAGGGATGAGTAAAAGGGCTGCTAATTAAAATGAAAACATGGACAGGATGGAGAGTTCACTGTATTTAGCCCTTTAATTTGTGCTTAATGTAATGTTAAAAATAAAAGGATTATATTACATTGGCATACTATATTGAAACATGTAATTTTAAATTATATTATATTTTAATTATAAAATTATGGTAAAATAATGAATATAAATTGGAGTTTCAGTAGTAGTTACCAAAAGTTGTTTTTGAAACACCTTGAATTTATCATACTAACAGAGTTACAAAGTGAAACTGTAATAAATAATAAATAATCCATGTATAAAAGTTGGTATAATAGTAAATTAATATACAGGATTCATGTGGGAATTACATGTTGTGAATGTTTTTAAGCACAACAGCATTAATTAAAGTTCTGAGTAAGTTATAGTGTATAACATCTATCAGACTGACCTTGCTATTGATAGTTATTATAAACATGGATTTTAAAAAATATCCTCAGGAGATATTTGGAGGTAACCAAAAGCATCAGAAATCGCATGAGATGCAATCGTTTCAAGAAAAAACGTGAACAAGGTAATACTTTTATTTGTTTGATTTTTCCCTCTGAGGGTTTGACCCAGTTTCTTGAGGCACATAGGCAGCAGAAGTCCAATAAAAATTTGGAGGTTTGCTGGACAAGAAAGAGATTGCAAAATACAAGAGGGTATGGAAAGCAAGAAGCATCTAAGAGGGGCCTGACTGAGAAAGGGTACCTGTCCCTGAACTCCTACTTAACACTGTGCACATATTTCCTTCAAGACTTTCAAGGGCCACTACCATAAACTTAGGAGGAGAACCCAGAGCCAAGAGGAAGCAGAAGCTCAGAAGCCAAAGAAAGGAGAAGATTCAACATCGGCCTGTGCACCAAGAAAAGTTCGCCATTTGAGTGCCTCTTGGTTACACTGTCCGCAGCTGGGAGTTTCTGTGGTGGCTGCACTCCAGCTTGTATCGTTGACTCTAGCAAATCAATCTGGTGAGTAAGATCACAGCCTGCCCTGTACAAGAAGTGTGCTCTATTCTGTGAATATGTGAATGGCATTATGTTTAAAATCAATGTAATTTCAACATATTAATCAGAAAAAAAAGAAGACGAACGCTCTCAAAAAAGGCAGAGAGTTCATGTGACAAAATTCAGCAGTGATGCATGAATTAAAGAACAAAATGATTTCCAGTAAGCTAGATCAAGATACAAGGAAATGCTACCTACCTGATAGAGGACACCCAGGCCATAACTACAACTATTCTCCCTTATAGGACAATAAGCCTCATTGATTTTACCCTTCTATTGAGTGTTAAAATTAAAACACAGAACCAGAAATAAAGCCAGAAGAAAAAACAAGCAGGAAGTATCAAGAAAATTAGAAGAAAAAATCACAACTGAGCAAAATATTTGTAAAAGATACATCTGATGAGGAACCGCTGTCTGAAATTTGCGAAGACCTCTTAAAATCCAGTAAAAGCAAAACAAAGCCCATTTCAAAACCAGCTAAAAAGCCTCACAGATACCAAAGATGATATACACTTGAGAAGAAGCATGTGAAAAGGTCTTCCACCTTACGTTTGATCAGGGAACGTGAAGGTTAAGGCAAGATGCCATTGCACCCCCATTGGGGTGGGGCCAAGCCAGCACACTCACAGAGTAAAATACTGATGAGCACTTTGACCATCGGGAATTCTCATGCTTTGCTGCTGCTGCTGATATGAAGTGGCACGGTCGCCGTGGAAGACAAGCTGGCGGTCTCTAAAGAGTAAACATGTTCTTATTATATTACCCCACAACCACACATGCTAGTGTCTACACAAATTCATGCCACACAAAACCTGCACACTGGTGGTTAGAGCAGCTGTATGCATAACTGTGGAAATGTGGGAGCAACCCCAATGACCTGCACCTGGTGGGTGACGGGATAGATGCTACCTGGTACCTCTCAATAATGGGATGCATTGAGCAGTAAAAATAGGTGAGCTATGTACATAAGCAGGATGGTTTGTACAACTGTACGATGGATTTCTGCTGGCCTATGGAAAGGAGCAGTTGGTGCTTAATTTGTTTTTGTCTCCTGTTTTCAATTCTTTTACCTTTTCTCTTCTGAATTTCTTGAGTTTTTATTTTTATTTTTTTAAATTTTTGACACAGGTCATGTTACGCAGTTCAGGCTCATAGTGACCCTCCTGTCTCAGCCTCCCCAGTGCTGAGATTACAGGGGTGTGACATCATGCCTGGGGCTGGTATGGAATGCAGTAGTGTATTGGAATCGTACTTGTGACCCTGCCCTTACCAGGCAAGTGTTAGACCTCCAAGCTATATCCCTAGCCTGCTCTTCTTAATTTATTATATATTTCTTTGTTTTCTTCTTTCAATTTTGTATTCATACATCTGGTAATATGAACAACTAATTTGAAGGCAACAGTATGCAATATAATAAATATTGTGAAATTCATAGTATTCTGTTTAGTGAAATTCTGTATCATTTGTAATTTTTGTTTCAATACTATTTTGTACATTTTTAAAAATAAAAAGTACATCAAAAACTTAAATGTATATTTCTAGGAGACAGTATAAAAAGTTGACATATTGTATAATTTCAGCTACATTATACTCTGTGAAAGGGAAAAAAGATGAAGCTAAAAAGTTTAGTGGATTCCAGGAACTCAAGGAGGGTGAGGAAAGAAGCAAAAAAAGCATTTGAAGGATTTATAAGGCAGTATAATATTCTACATTATATTACAATATGAAAACAAGTCATTGCGAATTTGTCCAAACCCATGGACTATACAACACCAAGACTGGCCCCTACCGTCAGCTATGAACTTTGGGTAATAATGACGTGTAGGTTCATGAAATTTCACCAAGTAGCTTCCGAAATGACACACTGATGATGTGTCCTTTACTGATGATTGAAATCTATGTCATCCTCTTCGTTTTACTTGAACCTAAAACTTAATAAAATTAAATTGTTAAGTATTTACTTAAAAAGTGGCAAGATTAAAAAGGCAAAAGTTAAACTTTTTTATGAGGATGGAACATATGCAGGAGACAGTTCTGTACATCCTTCAAAGAAAACAAAGAGTTTGCTTCTTTTCTGAGAAACACCAAATGGCGGATGACTCCCATGCAGCAGGAGGGGCCGAGGCCCCGGGGGCCCAGGCATGGGAGGCCGCAGCGGCTTCCGCGGGGCTTCGCTGTGGCCTTCGAGGTCGCGGGCGCGGCAGAGGCTGGGGCCGGGCCGAGGCCGTGGGGCTCGCTGCGGTAAGGTCGAGGACAAAGAGTGGATTCCTGTCACCAATCTGGGCCGTCTGGTCAAAGACATGAAGATCAAGTCCCTGGGGCGAATTTACCTTTCTTCCTCACCCATCAAGGAGTCCGAGATTATTGGCTTTTTCCTGGGCACATCCCTCAAGCATGAAGATCATGCCTTTGCAGAAGCAAACTCGTGCTGGCCAGCAGACCAGGTTCAAGGCATTTGTCGCCATTGGGGACTACAATGGTCATGTTGGCCTGGGTGTAAAGAGTTCCAAGGAAGTAGCCACTGCCACTCATAGGGCCATCATTCTGGCCACGCTCAGTCCTGGTGAGGAGAGGCTACTGGGGAAACAAGATCAGCAAGCCCACACTTCATTGCAAGGTGACGGGCCGCTGTGGCTCTGTGTTGGTGCGTCTGATCCCTGCCCCCAGAGGCACTGGCATTGTCTCAGCCCCTGTGCCCAAGAAGCTGCTGATGATGGCTGGTACTGATGACTGCTACACTTCTGCTGAGGGCTGCACTGCTACTTTGGGCAACTTTGCTAAGGCCACCTTTGATGCCATCTCCAGGACCCACAGCTATCTGACCCCTGACCTGTGGAAAGAGACAGTGTTCACCAAGTCTCCTATTAGGAATTCATCCACCATCTTGTGAAAACCCACACCAGAGTCTCTGTCCAGAGGACTCAAACTCCAGCAGTAGCTACAACATAAAGGGGTTTTACACAAGCAAAATAAAATGAATTAAAGTTTATCAGAACCAATACATGAACTTAACATCATGAAATAAATTCTTTCAGAAAATTGAAGAGGAAGGGATACTTTTCAATTTGTTCTTTGAGATTAGCATTATGAAAGGAAAACCAGAAAAAAAGTAATTATAGGGAAAACAAACTACATACAAATACCCCTTGAGAATAGTAATGCAAACATTATTAGCTAAATTTTAACAAATTAAATGCAGTGAAGAGGCCCGCCAAATAACTCAGCAGATTAAGATGCCTGTTTAGGCAGACACAGAGGCTGGGAGTTCAATCGCTGGGCTTGCTGTACCAGCCCCGCCCCCAGGGCATGCTGAGACTGCGATTGAGATTGGGCATGGTGGTACATGCCTGTAATCCCAGCACTTGGGAGGCTGTTAACAGGAGGATCACTATGAGTCTGATCTATGCAGTGAGACCCTGTAGACCCTGTGTGAAATACAAAAATGAATAACTAAATAACTAAATAAATAAATGCAATGAAATACACATAAATGGTGAAGTGTTAAGACCAACTAGCGTTTATGCCAGGTATGCAGTATTGTTTAACATTTGAAAACTAAAGAATGTGATTGACTATTTTAAAAATTTAAAAAGAAGGAAAGAAACTTTCATCTTAGTTCACGCAGAAAAATATTTGGTAAATTTCAGTTTCTCTTTCAGCTAAAAACACTTATAGCAGTAGCAACCCAAATTGCTATGAACAGAAACTCTCAGTGGACATTAGCATTCTTCAGGGAAATAAAATTGAAATAGGTAGATGGATAGCTATAGATAGATGGATAGATAGAGCTCAGGAAGGGAGGGAGAGTTTCATGTCAAGAAACTGGTTCAAGTTATTATGACAGTTGTAGCTCAGGACTACAGATGGGAAGTTGTGGAAAGATATTGTGGTTTTGAATCTGAAGGCATCTTAGAAACACATGTAGGGGAATCTCAGTTATTGCCATTAAGGCCTTTAATTGATCAGATGAGGCCAATCTAGATAATGAGAATAATCTACTTGACTTACAGTACACTAAATTGAATGTCACAACTAACACAAGCACTTTTGCTACAACATCAAGACTTTTGGTTGCCAAAGCAACTAGAGATGATAACCCAGACACGTAGACACATAAAATAAACCATCACTGGATTATACAACACCAAGACTGGCCCCTACCGTCAGAAAACTGGCAGAAACTGTCCTCAACTTGGTGAAAGATGTCTATAAAAACCCATAACTGATCTCATACTTGTAAGAAAACTACTAGTCTTCCAATATGAGGAGAGAGGAGAAAGGCAGGCACACTCTATCTCATGCCTTCCAGCAGCATTGCATTGCAGATTTTAGCAGATTACTACAGCAAGTAAAGGGAAAAAAGGCAATACAGACTAAAGGAAGGTGCACTGTTTGCAGAGATGATCCTAGAATATTCTGTACAACCACTGCAAAGCTACTCCTGCTGGTAGTTGCACCAGACAATACGGAAGGATACACAACCATAATTTCTATATATTTCTTTGTAGAATCATTAAATAATAAGAAAAAACAATTAAATTAAGCAATCCCATTACTAATAAAATAAAAAGATGAAGGGAAGATAAATCTGACACAAACGAAGCAATATCTGTACACTAAAAATATTGCTGAGAAAAATTAAGGAAAGGCTACGTGTGTGGAGAGATTTACTACACCAATGGCTCAGAAAACTTGTTTAAACATCAGTTTCCCACAAGTTGACTCACACACCAGTATCTAAAGTTGTCTCAAAATTATGACAGCAGTTTTGAAAATTAGTTATGGAAAGGAAGTGTACAGTATCCAAATTATTTAGTGCTTTTGTTTTGCATAAAAATGTTTACTCACCCCTGCTCTATTTCCTGCTTTTCACAGGTTTTTGTTATTTTTCTGACACCTTTTTATGTCTTCCCACACTCTGACGCATGACTCCCATGATGCACCTATAGCAGACTATGAATAGACCATGTGTGCTTCATATCCCCTTCACAGTTCAGTGTAAGGTATTGTTTTCCTACAGCTTTCCTGAGCCCTGAAATCTCAGAGTTGCACTGGGTATGTGCTCTAACTGACCATTGTCCTGAATAATTTCTAGTGTAAGAGTTGACACACTCGTGTTGTCTTTGAAAGTCTGTAAGCTGACTCAAGATAAGTTTGCACCTAAATATTTTAGGGACTAATGTATGATATGCTCAGGAAATAACTATCAAATGAATCACTATATAAATCACAGTTTAAGATCTAGACAGCATGGACAAAAAAGAATTTACTAATATTATAATAGCACTGACCATTGTTCTTGAATAAAATAATTAAATGACCTTGTGCATACTTAGATTAAGTTGCAATTCAAGACACTGTGTTCTATTTCTCCAAGATTTCAGAATAATTGTGAGCTGTTATAAATAATTTTTATAAGCATCTTTGCAATAATATTTCCTCTAATATAGCATTTCTAGAATTCTGCATAAAATAGAACTGAAATTGCATTATTTCAGTCCTAAATTAAATTACAAATTAGTTCACTAACTTTGACATTAACACAGAAGTTGATTTCTCTGTGCTTCTCTGCAGACCAGCCCCTGACTTATTTTGTATGAAAAGCGCACACTTTGTTTGCAGCCAGCTTCTTCCTAGTTAGAGCTGAGCAGAAAATGCTTTCCATGACAGGCTCCAGAGCTCTGCAGTGTTCTGAAGTGAAAACTCAGAAAGGCCTCTGAGTTAGCCTTCAGGGTACTTGGAAGAAGGAAGAACCCTGAAGATAGGAAGTTGTACCTGACAGATAGGAAGGGACAGGGCTGACACTACAGAAGAGAGGAGAAATGAGACTTCGGTGGTGCCAAGAAATATGTATTGAAGTTCAGAGTAGATAAATGAAGTGAAAGTCTTTAGTATATAAAATGAAGTTTGCAATCAGGGAGTGATGAGGACGCCATGTGATATTGAGAAATGAGATAGACTGCACACAGTAACAAATTTCATTTGAGAGTTACAAATGGAATCTTCAGTGCAAATCACTGTTTCCAGTAGTCACATACCCAGTATAAGTATTAGAAAATTGACCCCTCCTTGTGCTGAAGACTGCCAGAGAGTCCTGGTGGGCTGGCTCCCACCCTGCCAGAGTTTGCTGAGTCTGGCCATCCTTCTTCACCCTGAAGACTTCTGGGAGATGTGATTACCACAGAGCCAATAGGAATCTTGGGGAGCACAACCTGCCCTCCTACTCTCCTGAGAGCCTTGCTGACCTGCACTATACACATCTACTATCACTGCAAAAAGTGACAAGAGGAAGGAACAAAAACAAGAGGTCTGCACTCTCAGATCTCTAGCCCACCCAAATCAAGTCCAGCAGCCTAGATCATAGAAGAAATTGGAAGTCACACACCTCAAATTTCTACAACTCCATCCGGTTACGTAGGAAATCAGATGAGAAATAAACTCTTATGGAAAAAAAGAAATGACAATAATCATGAAAAAATTGTTTGATACATATGAAGATTAAAAAAGAGAAGGGAATAGGAAAATGGTAGAAGGAATAATATAAGAATTAGAATGAATGAAAGGGAGTCAAACAGATATCCAGAACATTAAGAATTCTATTGAAAGCTAGCAAAACATCTTGAATTAAATAGAAAAAATTTCAGACCTTGAAGATAGCATTGCTGCTGGTGAACACAAAAGGAAACATCTCTCAAGAATAACAAGAAATCAAGAAGTAAAAATTCAACAGCTTCAAGACAATGAAAATAGAAATAATATAGTTCTAATAGGTATCAATGAAACATGTGGAGATAACACAAAAGTCATAAAAAGAGTGTTTGCAGAAACAGTAGTAGAAAAATTTGCAAGCATGGGAAAAGAATCTGAAATACAGACAACTGAAGCATGTAGAATTCCAGCTAGCAGTAATCATAATAAATTATAACTCAGGCGCATAATAATAAAGATCCCAGAAATTGAGAAAAAGAAAAAAGTATTAAAAGCTGTTAAAGAGGAAAAACAGAACACCTATAATGGAAAGCCCATCAGAATCCTAGCATATTTCTCAGCACAGACCATCAAATCAAGAAGAGCTTGGAGTGAGATATTTGAGTTCCTGAAAGAAAACAACTTTCAACCCAGATTGATATATCCTGCAAAACTATCTATCAAATTCAGTGGTGAGATTAGATACTTGCATGACAAAGAGTAACTGAAGAAATTCATGACAACCAAATAGAACCTACAAAGAGCACTGACAGACACTTTAGAAAGATACAAAGATGACCACAACTTCAACAACAGAAGAGAATTACGAAGCAGAAAAACAAATTAAGCAAAGGTGAAAAGCAGAGATCCTACAGTAGGAAAACAATATCACAAGGATAAGTCAATATATACCAATTATAACTATTGATATAAATCACCTTAATTCACCAATCAAAAGAAGCAGACTGGAAGAGTGGATAAAGAAACAAAATCCAACAATATGCTGCATAAAGAAACACATTTTTTGAGGCTTGTGGGTTATCTCAGTTGTTTAAAGCACCTCCTTAGGCAAACTCAGTAAGGCACAGGGGACCGTGGTTTGATCCCCAGCTCCAAGCCGCACCAGACCTGGCCTTAAGGCAACATGGGGTAAACAACCAACCAACCAAACAAACAAAACCTGAAAACTAAACAAAACAAAAAATCAAACAACAACAAAAATAAACAAACCAAAAAACCAAAACACATTTTACTCAAAATGAAGTTAATATATTAAATGGCAAAGGATGGAAAACAATACTCAATGCAACATGAATGAAGAAAAAAGTAGGAGTAGTTATTCTGGTTGATAAAACACCAAGGTCAAACCAAGTGTGATTAAAAGAGACAAAGAAGGCCACTACATACTTGTTAGGGGAAAACTGCAAGAGGAAGAGGTAACAACTATAAATATATATGCACTCAATGTAGGTGCACTCAACTAGATAAGACAAATTTTAACAGACAGGAAAAACCTAAAGAGTGATGACATAATTACATTGGGTGACTTTCACACCTATTGACACAAAGAGATAGGTCAACTGTGCAAAAATTGAGCAAATCAATGACAGAACTAAACTAAACTTGTGAAGAAATTGAAGTAGTAGCCCTTTACAGAGTGCTCCATTCAACAGTGTCAGAATCTGCATCTTTCTCAGCTGCACATGAGACATTCTCTAAAATAGATAATGTGCTAGCACAGAACATGCTTAAGTAAATGCAAAGGAATCATAATTGTCTTGTACATATTATCTGATCATTGTGCAATGAAACTGGATTAATGACAAATGAAACAACAAAGAATATATAAACACAGGAAATTAAATAATACCCTCCTGAACAATCAATGGGTCACAGATGAAATTAAAGAAGAAATTAAACAATAATTACAATCTAACTGAAATGCAGATACAACTTACTGGAACCTGTGGGATGTATTGAAAGCTCTTTTAAGAGAGAAATCTATAGTGATAAATTCTCACATCAGGAAAACAGAAGAGGCTCAAATAGACAATCTTAAGCTGCACCTCAAACTCCTAGACAAAGAAGAGAAAGTCAGGTCCAAAGCCCAAAGAAGGCAAGAAATTATGAAAATTAGAGTAGAAATAAAAGCAATGGAGATATAAAAACAATATAAAGAAATAATGAGTTGAAGAGTTGATTCTTTGAAAGAATAAAGTTGATAAATGCCTAGCCAGCCTCATTTAAGAAGAAACAAAATTTTCAAATTCACTTAATGAGGAATGAAAAGGTTGAAACCACTACAGAGCCTTAGAAATTCAGAAGATTGTCAACACTTATTTCCAAAATCTTTACTCTCACACAATAGAAAATACAGAAGAAATGGACAGATTCCTAATACATATGAACTACCAAAGCTAAATCAAGAATATATAAAAGTTTGACTAACACAATATCATCCAATGAAGCTGAAAATGTAATAAAACAAAAAAATCTTCCAACAAAGAAAAGTTCAGTTCCTGATGGATTCAGAGCTGAATTCTACAAGAAATTTGGGGAGGACCTAATGCCAACTCTTCTCAAACTCTTCAGTGAATTTGAAGGGGAAGAAATTCTCCCAGACTTGCCCCTGGAGGCAAATATTACTCTGATACCAAAACCAGATAAGGATTGAACCAAAAAAGAGAACTACAATCCAATCTCTTTAATGAATATAGATTCAAAAACCCTCAATAAAGGGCGGAGAGCTTCCTGCTACCCTGCGCAGGTGGGACCAGTCCCAGCCCAGGCGCAGCGTGGGTCAGACCCTCTCCCAGCCCCTTGGGCCGCCCCCCCGCCACTCCGCAGTGCCTCCCCCAGCCCACCCGCTGAGTAGGATTTTCTGCTAACTTCCGGGAGCCCCCAGACCCAGTCCTAGCCCAGGTCCAGTGAGTGTGTGGAGAGCTTCCTGCTACCCTGTGCTGGCGGGACCAGTCTCAGCCCAGGCGCAGCATGGGCCGGACCCTCTCCCACCCCCTCCGGCTGCCCCCCACCCCTCTGCCGTACTTCCCCCACACCTCCGGCCCAGTAGGAATTGCTGCCGAGTTCCGGGAATGCCCAGACCCAGTCCTAGCCCTGGTCCGCAGCGGGAAGGAGCTGAGCACAGCAGCCAGACCTAAGCCAGACTCAGCTGGATAAGTCAAAACTCTGTAGAGCTCCACCTTAACTTCAGTACGTGTGAAGGTTATAACTACAGCAAAGATCTACAACAAAGGGCAGAGGACAGTGCTACACAAAATGACGAGAAG